GCGTGTCACAGGTTTGTTGGCCGACTGTATGGCCCAATTCCGGTCCGGTTATGGCCGCCTGCAGTGACTTATGCCGTTCGCCACACATATACACCTGAGTCTCGTATAGAGTGACCCGAGGGGTCGCGTCTACTGTCGAATGATTCTCAACTGTACAGTGGACCGCAATAGTGTCACCTTGGTCATTTGGCAATCAATCAAGTTTTAGGTATACAATTGACTGGAATCAGAGTTATACATACCCGGAGCAAATCCTTTTTTAACCAAACTAGCATGGAGTCTCATCTAATGATTTATAATAATTATATAAAATGCAGCATAAAATCAATGCAATTAACATACAATTCCACTGCCAATGCTGGGAAAGTCAAACACCTTCTCAACGCTGCCACCCACTGAGACCTTGGTCATATAACAATCAGTTTCATGAAAATTGTCTAGTCTCTCCCGTTTAAACAATAATACAAAACAATAGAATTACTTTAAAATTAGTTTGCATAGGTGAGTCCACAGTAAATTTATAAGAAATCTTATGCGCCTGGTCAATGTTAGCAGTTATGTAATAGTGTATCGATCCGTTTGGGCCTTCAAATGATGAGGGAATACCTCTAAAATAATTGGGAGACAATTACTAACAAGGTAATGTAATGTGACTCAATATACTTGTTCATACTCATCCGGCAAAGTAAACTCAAATGGTATGACATGATCACCCGGGCCCATGCACTTGTCACAATCTGTTTATAAATATACAATTTGGATTTACAGTAATCATTTCAATTAAAGTGAAGTGTTTGTAACATATATCATACAAACCTTGGTGTAATATACTTGTATTATAAGTGAGTGAAAATTTAATATAGTTAGAAATAAAATACTCTAGCAAAATAATACTATGTGGACATACATTGGTCGGGCATTTTGTAGACCAAATCAACGTAAGTGCGCTGATCTTTGTACTCCTGTCCCTCGCGGTGGAAGTAAGTGCCGGCGCTCTCAACCCATTTGGATTCGGCCACAC